AAGATCTGGAATTAGGCAAGGTTTTGGTTTAAAGTTCATATCGTATTATTTACATATTTACATATTTGGATGAATGCAGTGCCTTGCTAAGTGGTGGTCCTGCTTTGCCTTTACTGCTTTAAACCCATGCACTATTCAGAGACCTGTAAAACAGAAACCTGACCCTGTACTGTTTTAATTATATATATAATTTAATATTTATATTATATATATATATATATATATATATGGAAGGCAGACAAACAGAGAGTAGGAGAGACAAAGAGAAAGATCCTCCATCCTCTTGTTCACTCCCTGAGTGGCCACAACTGCCAGAGCTGAGCTGATCCAAAGTTAGGAGCCTGGAGCTTCTTCTGGGTCTTCTGCACAGGTGCAGGATCCCAAAGCTTTGGGCTGTCCTCTGCTGCTTTCTCAGACCACAAGTAGGGAGCTGGAAGGGAAGTGGAACAGCTGGGACACAAACCTGCACCCATATTGGATCCTGGAACATGCAAAGTGAGGATTTAGCCACTAGGCTATCATGCTTGGCCTTTTAAAAACTTTTTTTCATTTTATTTTTAATTTTTCATTTTCATTTTATAGTCGAGATGAATGCACACACATGTGTGTCTCTGATTAGGCTGGGCTGCTGGGAGGGTTGAAGCATGGAGCAAGGTGGGTGGGACAAATGTTTCAGTTCTTTTGTTTTTATTCTCCTGGGGAAGGTGGGGTGTGACAAGGACTACTCCATGCTGACAAACTGTATCAGCACTTGGGAATGAGGGGACAGTCATTTCATGATATCTTAGAGACCCTGATGTGGGGAAGAATGTTCCAAGGGTGTTACTTGTATAGTTTTGGTAGTATTGGTTTTGTTGCCCCAGGATTGAGAACATCTTTCCAAGGTCTATTGGGTGACCAAGTCCACCTCAGTGGGCATCCATAGACCCAGACATTTACTACAAGGCTTGGCCAAGTGAATTCTTCAGCTTGTTCTGTATCCCATGCTCTTATGACACACTTGATGTCCTCTACTAGTATAGATGAGCTGTTAGGACCCACATGTGCATCCAGGCCTATACAGCAACTGAGGAAACCCAGTACTGACACATGTCCAAGGTCGGACCATGTATCTTGTGATTTTCCCTATGGCTGGGATTTGAGTTCAAGTGATTTAATTGGGGAGTCCCCCCAACAAACCTCACCTGGGGTGACCTCAGACTTGACTCTTGTGTGTGTATGTCAGCCAGTGCAGTGTCAGGTTCAGTCACCTATACCAGCCAGTGCACAAACTGGTAGATGCAGCTGCCTGGTCAGTTTCCCTCCCAGCCCCATCTCTCATGTGAATTGATGGGTGCTGTGGCCTAGCTCAGCTCAACTTGCCACAGGCTTAGTCTTCATGCACACCAGGCCTGCCCTAAGCCCCAGTTGCTATGCATGCTGGTGTGTGCTGCGGCCTAGTCTAGTCCCTCTCGCATCCCATCTTGCTCTTGCTCACACCCATGGGTGCTGTACCTTAGGTTCAGCCTGACCCACCCACAGACCCAGCCCACATGTATGTCATGGTGCTGCTGCTTTGATCATCCTGATCTGCCCTCAGCCCTAGTTCTTATGCTTACCAGCAGGAGATGCAGCCCAGCAGAGGAGTGCCCACAGTTCCCCTACCAGGTCCATTTCCAGCCCCGGATCTTGTGCCTACCAGAGGATACTGTGGTTCAGCCTGATGTGACTTGCTTCTAGTCTGAATACTTGGCAGTAGGTGGTAAGGCCTAGCCTGGCTGGCCCTTACCAATTCTGGCTGTATGTGTGCCGACATGTATAGCAGCCTGGCCCAGCCTGGTCTGCCCTCAGACCCAGCCTAAATTCCAACTGAAAGGTGCTGCAGCCTTGCCTGGATTGGCCCACTACCAGTCCTAACTTTCAGGCTTACCAATGGAAGCAGCAGCCCAGCAGGGAAGTCCCTGAGGCTCCCCTATCAGGCCTCTCCCAGCCCTGGTTTTGCTCATGCCAGCAGCTGCTGTGGCCCAGTCTGAGATGGCCTGCTACCAGTCTTAGCCCTTGCCAGCAGATACTGCAGCTCAGCTCAGCATGGCCCCTCCCACCTTAGTCCTGACTCTCACTGGTGGGTGCAGCAGTGTAGCCCAGCCTGTCCCAACCCCAGCCCTCATGTAAACGGGTGGGTGTTGCAGTTCAACCCAAACTGGCTTACATCCCATCTTGGCTCTTACTCATGACAGTGTATCTAGGGACTGTCCCAGCCTAGCCTGCCCCTAGAACTGGCCCACATGAATACAGACAGGTGCTGTAGTCCAGCCTCGCCTGTCCTGCTTCCAGCCCTGCCTCTTGTGCTCACAAGCAGGAGCTGTGACTTAGAAACAAAGTTCCCCAAGTTCTGCTATCAGGCCCACTCACAGCCCCCGATCTTAAGTGTGCCAGTGAGTGCTGCAGCCCAGCCTAACATGGCTGGCCCCCAGGCTTGGTTTTCATGTGGCCCAACAGGTGCCACGGCCTTGTCTGAGCTGTGCCATAGCCATTCTGACTTTCACAAGCACTAACGGGTACTGAGCCCAACCCAGTTTGGACAGTCCCCAGACCCAGCCTACACATAGCATGCCAATGGTTGCTGCAGCCTTCCCCAGCCTGGTCCACTCATAGTCCCAACTGTTGTACTTACTAGTGGGAGCTTTAGCCTAGCAGGGGAATACCAAAAATTCCACAATCATGCCTCTTCCTGGCCTTGGGTTTTGTACATGCTGGTGGGTATTTCAATGCAGCCTGGCATGGCCTGCCCACAGTCTCCACTTTCACTGGCAGATGTTGAAGTCTAGCCCAGCTAGGTGCAGCTCACATCTTATGACTCTCTTATATGCCAGCAGGTGCTGTGGCCTGATGTGGCTTGGCCTGTCCACAGACCCAGCTCAAATGCTGATGAATGCTGTACCCTTGCCTGACTTGGACCATCCTCAGACCCAGCATTTATGCTCCCCAGTGGGAGCTGAGGCCCAGCAGGGATATTCCCCAAGTTCCCCTACCAGGCCCACTCCCAGTTCTGGATCTCATGTGTGCCAGAGGGTGCCACAGTCCTGCTTGTCATGGTCTGTCCTCACTCAGCTTTTATGTGTGCCAGTGGTTGCTGCAGCCTGGTCCAGTCCAGCTTCCTCTCAACCCTGGCTCCCATGAGTGTCAGGTGAGTTCCTTAGTCCAGCCAGGCTTGGCCCATCACCACTGCCAGCTCTCTATGCAAATCAGAAGATGCTATAGTCCCACAGAGGTGAGCCCTACAAGATCTGCCCCCAGATCTAGTTCTCTTGCATTCAAGTAGGTGCTGTGGTCCAGTCTGACGTGGCCCATCCCTGCCCTAAAAGTGGTGGGCGTGTACTACAGCCTAAACCCACCAGGTGTGTCCCCTAGTCTCAGCTTTTATGTGCATCAGGGGGCTACAGGTGATCCTACTTAGCCCAACCCAGGTCTCCCAGGTGTGCAGCCTTAGCCTGATGTGCTCTGGTTTTCCTGCCACAAGACCCCCTCTAGAGTCTTCTCAGCTCATTCACCTGTGAGGGCAATGACCCAGTCTCCAGAAACCATTCCTTTCCTGTCAAACATGTTTTCAGCCAATCTGTCTCCATTCTGTCCCCAGACCCCCTTCTCCAGGCAGTCTGCAACAGCAGCAGCAGCAGCACCACCACCACCACCAATACCACCCCTGTCACCTGGGAGCCAGGTTGGCATATCCTGGCCCTGTTTCCCCCACCTTCCCCACATATCATAAAACAATAAAAGTAGGCAACTATGCTGGCATACTGGTATAGTTAACACAAATTTGGCATTAGCCAAGTTCAGCATGCCTGCCAGCTACTGGCTGCTTTTCTCCCAGCAGTGTAACACTTGCCTGGGTACAGTGCACCCTAGGCAGTTGCCTACAGCTGGGGACCCTGTACAGTCTTTTTTTTTTTCTTTTTAAGATTTATTTATTTTTATTGGAAAGTCAGATATACAGAGGAGGAGAGACAGAGAAGAAGGTCTTCTGTCAGTTAATTCACCCTCCAAGTAACGACAATGGCCAGTGCTGTGCCAATTGGAAGACAGGCGCATGGAGCCTCTTCTGGGTCTCCCACATGGGTGCAGGGTCCCAAGGCTTTGGGCCGTCCTCAACTGCTTTCCCGGGCCACAAGCAGGGAGCTGGATAGGAAGTGGGGCTGCTGGGATTAGAATTGATGCCTATATGGGATCCTGGCTAATGCACGGCGAGGACATTAGCCACTAGGCTACTGTGCCAGCTCCTTGCTTGTGGCCGAGGAAAGCAGTTGAGGATGGCCCAAAGCCTTGGGACCCTGTACCCATGCAGGAGACCCAGAGGAGACTCCAGGCTCCTGAGTCCTGGCTTTGGATGGGCTGAGCTCTAGTCATTGCAGCCACCTGGGGAGTAAACCAGCAAATAGAAGACCTTTCGCTGCCTCTCCTTCACTCTGGAAATCTGACTTTTCAATAAAAATAAATCAATCTTTTTTTTTTAAACAAGAGCTGAGTTACATCAACATTTGAGCACCATTTTTCTTAGAGACTAGTTATATAATTCAAAATTGTTTATTTGAATTGATTTATTTGAATGGCAGAGAGAGAGTGTGTGTGAGAGAGAAACAGACACAGACACACAAATACTTTCCATCTGGTTAACTTCGCAGCTGCCTGCAACAGTCAGATTTAGGCCAGGGTCAAACCAGGAGCCAAGGACTCTATCTGGGTTTCCTACATGGGTAACAGGGACCCAAGAAGTTGTGCTATCATCCTTTGTCTCCTAGAAGTATTATTATGAAGCTGCATGGGGGGCATGGAGTAGCTGACGTGGGATATAGGCATCCCAAGCGATGGCTTAGTGTGCTGTGTCACAGTGCTTGCCCCAAGTTTCTTCAATGTATTTGGCATCTTTGCAGTATTCAAAAAGCATTTAATGTGTCTTCATGAACCGTAGCTGAAGAACTATGTAACTTTGCCTACTCAAATGAATTTTTGCATTTCTTTAGGTTCACAAGGCAGTTACAGTTTCCAGTCCCTTAACCACAGTCCTGACTGCAGAGATTCTTAATGGGTCAAAGAATCAATCAGTTCAGCTTGAAACATCAGCAGATCCTGGAACTACAGCCAGTCCTCAGCAAGTAAAAAATGTTCCTGGGAAAATGCAGATTGCTACCCCTCTGCCAGTGGCCCCCTCCTACAGCTATGCCACCCTCACCCCCAAGACCTCTTTCCAGAGCACCTCAGCACCACACCCAGGTGAGGCTCTTTGCTTCTGCTCTTGGAGAGGATGGGAAAGTGAAACATGTGATGACAGCACTCCCTTTTAGAAGGAAGAAGGGAGGGAAGGAGGCCTGTCAATGGACTTGGGACCCTATATCCCTTTCTCAGCAGCTCCCTACCCCCCGCCTGTGCAAGTTTATGAGTCTCATTTTCTCAGAGCCAGATTCCACTGTGACTTAAAGGCACATGTTTCAGTTAAGTAATGTTTGAGGCGTCAAGTAAGCAGAGGCCACAGAGCAGAAAAGATTTGGGTCAGTACATCTGCTTGCCTGCTGAAAGTCTGATTGTAGCCAGATGTTTGTCTCGGGTTTTCATATTTCATTTCTCAACCCAGAGGAAGGAGACTTACCCATAGAATGTGGTCCCATGACTTTCCTGTACCTCACTGGGGCTGTTCTAAGACATTACTAGAAATGGTTAATCACAGCAACTAAATTGGTCTTTATTCCTTGAGAACGTTAAGAGGGTGGAGCAAGGGCAGTGAAAATGAATTCTCACCAAGTTTTAATGTCCTGGTATCTTCTTTGGTGGTGATGTGACAGTTTAGAGCTTTTCAGTCCTGAGGTACCAGTGTAATTTTTCAGTTCAGGCAGAACACCTGTGAATTTTGGTGTACTTGTGAAGGGATTGAGTTAACTGTATTGAATAGCCATTTCTTGTCCATCATACTTTCTGTGAGTATAATGGTTTCTGTCTTTCTTACTTCTTTGCTTTATTTCTTTTTTAAAAATCACTCCTGAGAATTCTTATTCCTTCTTCTGGGGCATGCAAATGCTGGAGCTTCCATAAAGAACGGTTTAATTTCTCTCTGAGTGCAATGTTCTTGAGCAGAGTCAGATAAATCTCAAATTTCATATTTGTCCAGGAAGCCCTGCTCACCTCTTGGTCTTGCAATATGAGAGTTACCCAGCCTGTTGTTTACTTTAAGCTCTCCTACTGTTGAGGTCTCCTATCAAATGAACAATTATTATCAGAGAAAAAGATTTATAGAATCAATGATTCTTGGTCTGCAGGCGCTTTCGGTTCTTAACCACACTGAGGAAGTTAGTGTGGTGGTGCTACTGACGTGTAATGGATAGGGATACTGTGGAACCTGTGAAGACCATTTCCCTCACAGCACAGAATTGTCTGATGAAAAGTGTCAGTAGATATTGTCAGTAGAGTTGAAGTTGAGAAACCCTGACATATATGAAATAGCTGTCGGACAGACAGTATGAAGACAGCATCCAGCTACTTACTGACTTGTGTATTACAGACATGCTACAGTAGGTCATGAAGTAGATTACTTTGAACCAAGATGCTTCAAAACTGGGGTATGTTTTAGAAAGGAGACAGTCTAAGCTGCCAACCATGGGCTACATTTAAAGAAAAATACCTCTTTTAAATTAAATAGCTTTAGCCAAACTCTAAAGAGTAGACTATGGCTTCTGTAGAGCACAAGAGGAAGAATTGGGTAGGAAAGGGGACAGGGCCATCACATGATGGTTTGTCTGATGCTGGGTTAGAGGTTTGGCCTCAAAGATGGTGTAGGCATGGGGATCTGAAACAAGAAGGTAACTCGATAGGTGAATATTTTCCCAGTTCTGTGGCGGTGGATATTTTAGGGAGATAAGATGAATTGCAATGGGGAGTGCAATCAGAGAGGTAAGACCAATTAAGATTCTGGAAATTATCTGAAATATAAACAATCAGTATATGGTAGCACTTAGAATAGAGAGAGACTAAGGTACAAAGAGTGATAGAATGCCTTTCCATCTAAGAGCTTTATATGTGCCTCTTGTTAGAAAATTTAAAAAGTGATCATAAGAGTGGTCCTTGAACAGAATTTTGGCTCTGCGATAAGTGGTATATGAGGAGGGCTTTAGGTAAGAACACAGGTAAAGTCCAGTGGAGAGACCGGAAGGGAAGCCTAATACAGGTGTTGTGATGACCAAGAGGTTTAAGGTGGAAGCTCTCCCAGCAGTAGTGGAGTCCCTAGGTGAAGGATGGAGGTTAGATTTGCTAAGAAGTTGTTCATCTGCGACCTTGGAAGATCCTTTCCATGGAAAAGTGGAGGCAGAATCAAATTTCACAGAACTGCAGAGTAGGAAAATGATGAAGAAATGCAGGCAGCAGCTCAATATCATTCACGGGAGGAGTTGAGTGGAAATGGAGAGGAGAAGTGGGACAGTCTGAATCTATTTCTTATCTGTAATGTATTTGCTTTGTTTCCAGTTATAAAGGAACTGGTGGTGTCCGCTGGAGAGAGTGTCCAGATAACCCTTCCCAAGAATGAAGTTCAATTAAATGCATATGTTCTCCAAGAACCAGATGATGGTAAAATTTCCTTTACATTTGGTTAGTCTTTTAGTTCCTAGTGATATCTGCATCCCTCAATTGATGTGTTCATTACAGTAGTCCTGTGAGGAGAAAAGATAGCATGACAATGCATCAGTACTTATGTAATATGAGAGAGGATTTGAGATCGCAAGCTTTGCTGCCAAGCCTACATTCACATCTCGACTCAGCTTGTTGTTAGTGGAATGATTTTAAATGCATAACTTCTAAAAAAAAAATGTGTAACTTCTTTGAGTTTTTATTTTTCTCGGCAAAGTAGGAGTAATATTTCCCAACTTATAAGGTTAATTATTTTTCAAAGTTAACTTTAAATCCCATTTTCTATGAACCTTAAAAAGTATTTACTTATTTAATTTATCTAAAAGGCAGAGAAACAGAAATTTCCCATCTGCTGATTCACTTTCCAAATGTCTTACACTAGTCGGGACTGGGCCAGCCTGAGGCCAGGAACTCAGTCTATATCTCACAGGTGGGTGGTAGGAGCCCAGGTACTTGAGCCATCATCTGCTGCTTCCCAGCATGTACACTGGCAGGAAGTAAGCCAGGATGTGGAGCCAGGACTCAGCCCCCCTGCCCCCACTCCAGCACTCTGATGAGAGGTGCTGGGACTTCAAGTAATACTTTAACCACTATGCCAAATACCAGCCTTATCCTAAGGTTACATTAAATCTGAAATGAAATAGTATATTATTATCTAGTTCAGTGGCTGGAATATGGTTGAGAAGTGTTATTGCAGGTCTTATTTAGGAGGTTGTATCGTGTCCACTTAAAGAGAAACAAGCTAAGGCTCAGGAAACCTGTTTATTTTAGCTAAACAAGTAGTAAATAGCAAATAAAGAATTTGGAAATTATTAGAAGTACAGCTAGTGTAGATATGTTGCTTAAAAAAAAAAAAGACAAGAGGCAGGCATTCTGCCACAGTGGCTTGAGCAATGCTTGTATCACCTATCTCAGCACCATTTTGAGTCTTGGCCAGTTCTGCTCTCTGCTAATGCATCTGGAAATCAGAAGAAAATGGCTCAAGTATTTGAGTTTCTGCCTAGATCTTTATGGGAGGCCTAGATGGGGTTTCTGGCTCACAGTCTCACCCTTGCCTAGCCTGGGCTGTTGGGGCATTTGGAAATGAGCCAGCAGATGAAAGATCTCTCACTCTACCTTTCAAATAAATAAATGTTTTGAAAAAATGAAAAATTCAGCCCATAATTCAAGTTTGTAAAATATAGAGAGGACAAATAATTCATTTAATAATAGGTGGAACAATGTTGTAGAGCATCAGGTTAGGTTTCTTGCATTCCATATGGCCACCTGCTTGAGTCCTGACTGCTCCAGTTCTCATCTAGCTTCGTATTGGTGCTCCTCAGAAAGTGGTGTAAGATGGCCCAAGAACTTGGGCCCCTGTCATTCGTGTGGAAGGTGTGAATTAAGCTCCTGGCTTCAGACTGGTCCAGTCCTGTGTGGTGTGGCCATTTGGAGGGGAGTAAGCCAGCAGAGGATTTCTTTCTGTCTCTCCCTGTCTCTGTAACTCTGCTTTTCAAATAAATAAATAAATAAATAAATAAATCTTTCTCTTTTAATTTGAAAGGCTAAATTTTTCAGACAGAAGGAGATACCAATGGTTCACTCCCCAAGTGGCCAACAGCCAGAACTGAGCCAATCCAAAGTTAGGAACCAGGAGCTTTCTCAGAGTCTCCCACATGGGTGCAACATCCCAAGGCTTTGGGCCATCTTCTATTGCTTTCCCAGGCCAGAAGCAGGGAGCTGGAATGAAAGTGAAGCAGCCGGGACACTAACTAGTGCCTATATAGGATCCTGGAGCTAAACCATCCCGCCAGGCCCATAAATAAATCTTAAAAAGAAAACTTCTGTAATCATAATATCCCCTTCACACTTGAAGTATACATTGTATTCCAATGCTTGACTTACAAACATGGATACATTCTCTTAAGATTATTTATGACATGAATGAAACATATTTTGATGGAAAATGCCTGGGTTGGGTTTCTAATTCTCTCATTGAAAACTTAGAGCCAAGTAGAATGACCTTCTGCATTCCAGATGGGATCCTTCTATTTTAGGTGCAGATATTTCCAGTTTGATATTCCTGATTTATGGGTCTAATACCAAACTGTGTTCATGCAAAAAGTACTTTCTCAGAATCTAAATGCCCTTTCTATTTTATTTCTGTTCTCAAATGGAGGTTTCCTTGTCAAGTGATTCCATCCCCCCACCCCCTACACCATTAGAGAATCGTTTCCTGTCTTCCTCTGGTGGGCAGTTAAGCTGAAGGCTTTTGGTAGCCTGTAAAGAGGACTGCAGGGAGGATGGTTGTTGTGGACTGGAGGGTTAAGCTGCCACTTCCAACATTGATATCCTAATGCAGTACTGGTTTAAGTCTTGGCTGCCTCACTTCTGATCTAGCTCCCTGCTAATGTGCCTTGGAAGGCAGCAGAGCATGGTCCAAGAACTTGTGTCCTTGTCACCCAAATGGGAGACAGGATAGAGTTCTAGTCTAGTTTCAGCCTGACCCAGCCCTAGCTGTTGTGACCATTTGAGAAGTGAACCAGGAGATGAAAGACCCCTGTCCCTCTCTGCTCCACACCCCTCCATAGTCTGCCTTCTAAGTAAATAAATGAATAACTTTTTTTAAAGCAAAACAAAAACAAAACCAGGCTGTTAAAGAAAGAGCTTTCTTGAGCTGTGATCACTTCTGCTGCTGTGAAAGAATTGCTAGGTTCTACGTTCTGTCTTTCCTAACCCACCTGTGCATGTACTCTTTCTCTGAGTTACTTTTGCGAATCAGTAAACCAAAAACCATCCATTCAGAAACCGTTGTTTCCCTCTTCCTTCTCCCCAGCGTCTTTCACCTTTATCAGATCTGTGTGCCAGGTAATTTTGCCCTCTTAGGGACTGGATCAGGTTTGTGTGTGCTGCGACCCCAGGCTTAGAACTCCAGGTTTCAAAGTCACTGCCCTCAGACAGCATGCTGTGTAATGGGCTCTCTGCCCTGTTCCTTGTGCCAGTTTCTTCCTGTAAGGCGTTGTTCATCCCCTAGGGTTTTGTCTCCTAGAAATACTGTCCTTTTTGAAATTTGCATTGATAGCCTTAAATATTAAGAAAATTGTCAGTTCCCAAACTAGTGTGAATTTGTTTTCTGCACAGAGAAAGAAGTTTCCAAGTAGTTAGAACAATGTCTATTAGCATGAGCCCCGTTCCTGCTTTTGTCCTTACCTAACTTCCCACATACACAATTGTGAGAACCACTGGAACTGGCACCTGGCCAGACCAGCACTAGTTTTTTAGGGGGCAGGAAAAGAGACAGGGAGCAGGAAAGGAAGGAGGGAGGGAGGAAGTCTTGGATTTAGGTTCTGTATTCTGACGTTCACGTTAGCATTCATGCAATGAGGAAAAAGATTACTGCTGGAAGGAAGAGAGGAAAGAAGCAAAGAGGAAAGGGAGGGAAGAAGAGAGGGAAGGAAGGAAAGCTTGGAATTAGGATCTGTGTTGTAACTTTCATGTTTGAACTTATTGAAATAGCAAAAAAAAAAAAAAAAACAGACCAGTAGAAAGAAGGAGGAAAGGAGGAAAAGATTAAGGAATGTGGGAACGTTGACTTTACGTTTGAACTCATAAGGAAAAGATGACCATTCTCTGCTAACCATTTGAGGTTTTTCTCTCTGTTTTGGGTGATAGCTTAAACGAAACTTTCCTAAACTAAACCAAACCTTCCCACCAAATTTCACCCATCCTTAGTGGGAGGTGGTGGTTGTGGGGGACATTTTGACATTCCTGAAACTTAAGAGCACTTTTACTGGAGAGATTCCGTTTGGATAACAGGATTCCCTCCTTACCCTATGTACTGATACTTATAGGGTCTGAGCTGCAAATGAAGGCCATTTAATGCTTCATTTGGTCTTAATTAATTTCAGTGGGGCCTATTTTAAATGGGCCATCCCCTACCATCTTTGTGCAGTGTGTTATTTAGCTCAGCAGGAATGCAGTAGCTCTTTTAACTCACCAGGGTGTGATGACCTCAGTGAGACGAGCATTGTTAGCATTCTGTAAAAAGCTATTTTTGAACCATGTTATTTAGAAGTCATCGCTGTGCTTTGTTGCAAAAGAAGTTTTTCAAGAGAATGGCCTTTGTTCCTAGTGAGTTCATCTGCAGTGGTTGGTAGGGCAAGTATTTTCAGTAGGATGCCATTTCAGGAGCAACTTGGTTTTATTATTATTTTAAAGAAAGATTGACCCTAGGAAGGGTGAGTATGAGATGGGAATGAACATTAAGAGAGAGTGAAAGAAACCTTCCGTCCTTTTTTTCAGTAAATGGCTTGGTTTCCCTACAGACCTTAGGGTACAATTTTTAAAGACATTTATTTATTTGAAGGGCAGAGTTACAGAGAGAGGAGAGTCTCTCTCACACACACACACTCTCTCTTTCTCTCTCACACACATTGAGAAGAGGCAGAGGCAGAGAGAGCTCTTCCATCTGCTGGTTCACTCCCCCAGTGGCTGCAACAGCCAAGGCTAGGCCAGTCTGGAGCCAGGAGCTTTCAGGTTTCCCATGTGGGTGGCAGAGGCCTAGCCATCTGGCAGATTTCACTGCTTTCCCAGGCAGGGAGCTGGAACACCAACAGCCAGGACACAAACCAGCACCCATGTAGGATGCCAGTGTTGCAGGCGGTAGCTTCGCTACACCACAATGCTGGCCCCTTTCGGGCACAATCTTAAAAACAAGCCTTGTCAAAATTTAGAAGAGGTTTGTTATTGGCAGGCTGTGAAGCTGTCATCTTTGTGTGTAGGTGTGTGTTTTCATGATTTTTGTAACTGCCCTTCTATAGGAGAAACCTACACCTACGACTGGCGGCTGATTACTCATCCTAAAGACTACAGTGGAGAAATGGAAGGGAAACATTCCCAGGTCCTCAAACTATCCAAGGTGAATTTGTCTTCTTTGATTTGCAGAGCTAAGGTAGAGGCGTTGCCTATTTCCTAAAATGTAGAATGTAGCATTTTCCTGTTCATATTGAAGTTGAGAATGATCTTTCAGAAGTGAATCCTCCAAAAGTCTGACTGGCTGACATCCAGTGTTTGTTAGTGTATGACTCTCAAATTTTCATTTATGGTGAGAAGATTGTACCAGCATGGAAGTGATAGCTGAAAATACACACTAAACAGCTTTAAGACTAACAGAAGGGTTTTAGAATTTGGGAGATGAATTAGGTTTCTATGTGTGTGTGGCCACATGACTGTGTATACTGGCTCACTCCCTTTAAGAGTCAGCATAGTTATTAAGAGTGGTAAAAATGGTCATATTTTTTGGCCCAGCAATCTCATTCATTCATTCAACAACCGTTCTTTATGCACAGGCTAAGTGGTAGGCATTGGTGATTTACCAGTGAGTTAATCATAACTTTAGTGTTCAAGCATGGTGAGGCTAGTACGTGATATTATTGGGAAGCAGGTAAGTGTAACAGGTGGTAACACTACTTCAGTATAGGGACTGTTGAAATCCTGAGGAATTAGAATATCTTTCTCAGAGTTTGCCTACTTGCATCATGAAAGATGATTAATTTACTTAATGATGATGTATGGATGGAAGCAAGGATGGAGCAGTCAGATGGAGGGCCGCTGGATAAAATGTAAGGTCAGTGAGCTGGATGGAGGTGTAGTGGGAGGGATGTCTAGGATACCGGCAGCCTTTTGCCTTAGGCATCTGGATGGATGTCCCTTGAAATAAGTGCTCAGAACGGGGAACAGTTTTGGGGGAGTTCTGCACATGATTTATTCAGTTTTGGGCAGATTGAGGTGCCTGTGAGGCATCTGCGTGGAGCTATGTGTTTGGCAGCTGGGGCTGAGGGATTAGAGATCTGGAGACAAGTTTGGGTTACACAACAACCCCAAGCAGATAACTGAAGGCACGGTTGTAGGTAAGATCAGCCAAGGAGAGTGTAGAGCAAAGGAAGTTGAGGCTAGAAATCTGGGACACCCTGTTGTTCTAGGGATAGCAGGTAAGGAAGCAGCAGAGAGGTGAGGCCCAGCATGAAAGCCTTAAAAGGAGAAGGAACTTACCAAAATACTACTTGCACCTCTTAGTATTAAACCAAAGAGGATAATTTAAAGTAAAAAAAAAAAAATTACCTGAAAGATGTTCTTTAATGTTCATTACAATATTAGTTATAATAGTCAAAGTTGGAAGCAACTGGAGTATCCAACAATGTGTGAAATATGTGTGAAGCATATGTGAATTAGGATATATTTATTCATGTGCTTTTCTACAGTCACTAAAATATTAAAAGGATTGTATAGCAAAACGAGCAAAGTATTCCTGCTAAATGAGCAAAAGTAGGAGCAGTGAAATGTTTGTTATGTTGGTTTTAGCTTGACCCTAAATACCTTTGACATATGAGCTCCTTGAAGATGGTAGAGATTTATTATTTCTTCACCTCCCAGCCCAAAGACTAAGACAGTGACTGGTATATAATTGAGTCTCAACGAATGTTTGTTGAACAAATGACCTACATAAAACTGTTTTATATGTGGTCATGGACACAAAAGAAATAGAGAAATGTGATGAGTTGACATGTTAACAGTGAGATGATGGGTTATTTTGTTGGGGTTTTATTTTGGTTTTTTGCCTTTTTATACAGTTGGAGGAAATAGGAAGAGAAAAATTTTCAGATAGCAGAGAATCATTTTGTATTTTTACAAAATGTTTTTCTTTGAAGAGCTGATTATTTTAATTTCATAACTCTGTGAAGTAGGCTGATTGGGCCGTTAATGTTCTTCTGAAAAGAAAATGGGAGTACAGAGAGATTGAAATCCCTTCTGTTGTTCCACAGTCAGCTAGTAATAAAGTTCACATTAAAAGTTTTTTTTTTTTGCTTGTTGTTTTGGTTTAATTTATTTTCTCATCTTCCTAGCTAGTTTATACTTTTTTTTTTTCCATTTTGGAAGTGGGGCAAGAGAGGAATGTAAAATTCAGCCTGGGAAAACTCAGATGTAAGTATTAAACACAACTGCTGCATTTGATGGTTGTCTGACAGGGCTCTGTCACTTCCACAGCTCACTCCCGGCCTGTATGAATTTAAAGTGATTGTAGATGGTCAGCACGCCCATGGGGAAGGCTATGTGAATGTCACCGTGGAACCAGGTAGGTACTTCCAGCTCTGGCTGTGTCTCCACTGCTCCCTCTGCAGGGCTCTCAAGGACATGAAGATTTAACTTTGGGTTTTTTTCTGTGTGTGTGTGTACCCGTATGATGTTTATTGAGCCATTCCTTGTTCGGTGTAGCATTAAGATTACAGTAGCAAGATGCATACTTTGTTCCAAGTGTTCCAATGGGAGCAGTGGGCTGGGGCAGAGAAGTGTTGGCCACATGGCCCACCGAGCAGTCTGGCTGCCTGCCTGAGAACTACTTCCCCAAGTGGGCCATGCTGAGAGAGCACTGTGTGTTGTGATTAAGAGACATGAAGAAGCCAGAAGGCTAGGACGCAGAAAGATAGCCAGCCAGGTGATGGACCCTTTCTTACCTTTCTCTGGAGTTCTTCATTCTAATCTTACTGACTGACCTTGGAAACCAAATCCTGTCCTTTTCAAATGAACCACTGTTGGTGGAGCATGATGCAGTAGTAGGGCATCTTGTTTTGTTCTGTCAGAGAAATCTGGGAGAAGTTGGGGAGGAGCAAATCCACTGGCAGAAATTCCTAACACTGTTTTGTGTTTCTGCATTCTTCGAACCTGTACGCTTTCATCTCCTTCCAAACATTAGCACTAGGGCCATGGCTGCTACACAGTGGGGCCGGCTGCTGCTTGTGACACAGACATCCCATATGAGTGCCATTGCAAGTCCTGGCCGCTCCATTCCCAGTCCAGCTCCCAGATAATGTACCAAAGAAAGCAGTGGATAATGGCCTGAGTACTCGGTCTCTGCTGCCCACATGGGAGACGCAAATGGAATTCCAAGGTCCTGGCTTCAGGCTGGCCCAGCCATGGCCATTGTGGCTGTTTGGGGAGTGAACATATGGATCTGTTTCTCTCTCTCTTTCTCTCTAACTCTGCATTTCAAATAGATAGATTGATCTTTTTAAAAAATGTATCAGCAAAGGGGCTAGAGCATGGCATAGCACACTAATCCTCGGCGGTGGTGCTGGTATCCCGTATGGGTACCAGTTTATTTCCTGGCTGCTCCACTTGCCATCCAACATCCTGCTATTGCTTGGAGAAACAGCGGAGGATGGCTCAAGACCTTGGGCCCCTGCTCCCATGTGGGAGACCTGGAAAGCTCCAGCACTTGCAGCCATTTGGAGGGTGAACCAGTGGTTGGAAGGTCTCTGTCTCCTTCTATCCTCTCTGTAATTCTGCTTTTCTGATAAAAATAAATAGATAAATGTTTCAGCATAACTGCCATTTGGTCATTTTTCAAAGAAAACATCCATTGGGTCTATAACTCAGTCATCTGGGGGGACCAGAGTGGTTTGTGACCTTCCCATCCCTCAGCCACAGTCGCCTGTCACACAGCCGAGGATGGTTGCACAGTCACCCACTCTCTTTTCACCCCTGTCTGCGCCAAGGGCTGGTTTGCTTGCCAAGGCCTTTATTGCACAGAGCTTGTTTGTCATCCTTCTCTAGGCTGACTTGCCTGAAAGCAGTCACCTGCTGTTGAAGCGTTCTCTGTGAACTAGCTGGCATCTGCACACGGAAATTCAGGATACGTAGGGATGGTGAGGGTTGGAAGGGGCGTTTATAATCCCAGGGATGTTAGTTTAGAATGATGGCCTGGTCTTGTGACTTTCCCATCAGGTGCTGCTTCAACCAACTATTATGTAATAGAAACTGATTTATAATCTAGTCAGCTGTAGCTTTCTTCTCTCCCAGTTTTTTCCTGGTCACTTTGTTGCAGAACCCCGAAAGAATCAGCCTCCCGTCGCAGTTGTGTCACCCCAGTTCCAGGAGATCTCTCTCCCAACCACGTCCACCGTGATTGATGGCAGCCGTAAGTACTTATCCAACTGTGATATTCTAGAACTGTACCTGGGTGGAAAACCCTGGTAGAACATTCGGGGCCAGCCTTGTCTGCATTCTGTATTAGCCAGGTTATGGGAAGACTGAGCACCTGAAACAACTGTTAGGAAGTAATAAAAACAGTCATCCTATTTCAAATTCCCAAGTGATGTGTTTGAAATAATAGTTCTGAGATTGTGAGAGAGTGGGATTTTGCATATATTTAGCATGATTTTAGTTGAAATTCCCTGGTTTTCAGAGTTGTTTGCACAGAGTTGCCTTTCTTGGTTATCAGCACGTGATTAGTAACTGAGAGCCCTGGCTGCTCTCACCCAAGCCCATCACTGTCAGGTCCTGCTGGGAGACCCAGGCGGTATTCTCCACAGTCCCAGCTGCTCTCACCCAGTGAGTGACGTGACATTTCGGGGGGGTCTTTGCCCTTGATCCTGGCTCAGATTTCTACCAATCCTCTCACCAGTATTTGCTTGGTTTCTTTGAGACCCCCTGAAGGCCTGATACGGTAACTGTCTTGGCACCAGCAATGATTTGTTGGCTGAGAGTCACTGCTTTATCAGAGAGCTCTCCAGAAAGGTTAAGCATTTCACATCAGTAATTCTGGCAAGAGGAGGAGACTAAGGGGATAGACGCCAAGAGGGAAAAGAAAGAATAGATAGAAGCCCTTGTGATGGAGTGGAGTAGAAAGGGTTCCCATTGTGCCGTAGTATTTTGTAGTGTATAGGTCAAAGTTAAATAATCTGTAAAAGGACACAGTGAGAATGATACCATGGCCATTCTCAGCTATCCAGTTTTCCTCCAGACAACCAATAGAGGTGTTTTATTACCCTTCCAGAGACAGGTTAGTTACATGCTAAGAGATCTATACATAGTTGTTAGTCTCCTTTTTTAATACAAATGGTAATACATTATTTGCACAATTACCTATGACGCTTATTTCTATATGTTGCAACATTTTTCTCATATATAAAGTCCTTGTTTATTTTTAAAAAAGAATTCATAGCATTTCACTGTATGATTGTATAATTTCATTGTTTGAATTTTTGCTTATTTGCATCAGTATCAGTTGAAGATTATTTAGATTATTTTCACTTTTTTGCTGTTACAGTGTTACCATGTTAATGATCTTGTGAATTTTATGTTTAATGCCTGCTCAGGTGTATCTGTACAACAAATTTCTAAAAGAACTGCAGAGGCAAAGATAAATACCACTAAATCACTTATTATGGAGGTTCTATCAGTTTATGTATTCAGCATGGCTAATGAGAGGGCATCTTCGCACTTTTATCCATTTAATAATGTTATGATACTTTTGTGGTTTGTTTTAATCTGATAGGTTAAAAGTAATGTTTTAAATATGATTTTGATTTGCATTACTTTTAAGTGAGGTTGAGTACCTTTTCTTGTGTTAAGAATTACTGATTTTCTATTTTTCATAGAGTAGCATTTTAAGCAGAGATTGACTGTATTGGAATCTTTGGCAAATTAGGCATTGGAATATTCACAGAGGGGCAGAATGACCCAATATTCCCGTGGAAGAAGCACTCTGGAGAGAGAGGAGAGCCCATGGTTTCTCGAAGCTTTCCCAGCTTCAAATCTCTGGGTGTTTGTCCTGGTTTGTTTAAACTGGATGAGTGCTGAGACCCAGTGTTCTCTTGTAACTGATGTTTCTTTATGGTCCAGAAAGCACTGATGATGATAAAATTGTCCAGTACCATTGGGAGGAACTGAAAGGGCCTCTGAGAGAAGAGAAGATTTCTGAAGATACAGCCATATTAAAACTGAGTAAGCTCGTCCCTGGCAACTACACTTTCAGGTAAATCAGGGTTTAGATTCATATTTAACTGATGCCATGTTTGTTTGTCTCTGAGGGGTTTTACATGCTTATGGGAAAAATCCACATTTACTCTGGGGTTGGTTGATTGTACAATCATCCCTTAGTATCAACAGGGGACACTCTTCCCAAACCCCACAAGATATCAGAATCCACGTTTGCTCAGTTCTCCTATATAACTGGTATAGTGTTTGCACCTGACTTTCACTCAACCTCTGGTATACTTTTAATGATCTCTAGCTTGCTTATAATGCCTAATACAATGTAGATGCTATGGGAATAGTTGCTATATTTTATTACTTAGGAAATAATAAGAAGAAAAAAGTCTGTACATATTCAGGACAGACATTATTTTTTAAGAGACAGGTTGATTGCATTTATGGGTGTGATGGGCTAACCATACAGCCTTTGGTTTCTTTGGTTTTTGAGCCCTGTACTGATCGTAACGTCATCTGAGGGGGCAAAGGTGCTTGTACAGTAGGTCAGGATCTACCACACCTAACCTCTTTAAGAGCTTTATCTTGCATATCTTCAAAATTTTTCTTGTCACGGAGTGAAAGGGCCCAGTCATTCTCTGCCTTTTCTTAGGCACAATTTGGCAGGGACCTGTCCCCATCCTGTCCTTTCCTCTTGGCATGCTGCCGCAACTGAGGGACCTCAGTGGTTGGTGTAAATGTGGTTTGTAGTCTCTTTCTCTGTTAGGGCTTTTGGGAGGCTTTAAAAAAGGACTTACTTATTTATTTAAAAGAGTGACAGTGCGAGAGAGATAAGGAGAGAATCTTTTATCTACTGGTTCACTCCTAAAATGCCTGCAATAGTCAGGGCAGGGCCCGATAGAAGTCAGGAGCTCCATCCAGGCCTCCTACATGTGTTGCAGGAACTCAAATACTTGGACCATCATACTCTGCCTTCCTTGGCACATTGGCAGCAAGCTGGGTGAGAAGTGGAATTGCCAGTGGGCCTGCGATAGCGTAGTGGCTAAATCCTCACCTTGCAACCACCAAGATCCCATATGGGAGCTGGTTCATGTCCTGGCTGCTCCACTTGCCATCCAGCTCCCTACTGTACTGCTTGTGGCCTGGGAAAGCAGTAGAGAATGTGACTCAAAGCCTTGGGACCCTGAATCCACATGGGAGATCCAGGAGAAACTCCTGGCTCCTGGCTTCAGATCAGCTCAGCTCCAGCTGTTACAGCTACTTGGTGGGCGGACCAGAGGATGGAAGATCTTACTCTCTGTCTCTCCTCTCTGTAAATCTGCCTCTCCAATAAAAATAAATACATCTTAGAAAAGGAAAATGGAATAGCCAGGACTATTCCAGTATAGGATACAAGCCAAGCAGCCAGTTAACCCACTGCATTACACCTGTCCCTTTTTTTTTTTTAAAGGTTTATTTTTATTATTTTTTCATTGGAAAGGCGGATATACAGAGAGGAGAGACAGAGAGGAAGATCTTCCGTCTGATGATTCACTCCCCAAGTGAGCGCAACGGGCCGATACTATGCCGATCCGAAGCCAGGAGCCTCTTCCGGGTCTCCCACGTGGGTGCAGGTTCCCAAAGCCCTGGGCCGTCCTCTGCTGCTTTCCCAGGCCACAGGCAGGGAGCTGGAAGGGAAGCGGGGCTGCCGGGATTAGAACTGGCGCCCATAGGGGATCCCGGGCGTGCAAGGCGAGGACCTTTAACCACTTGCGCCACAGCACCGGGCCCACCTGTCCCTTTTTTGAGAATCTAATGCAAAAGAAAGAGCTTTGGGAATTAGTGGTGACATTCTAGAATGTAATTGGTAAGGCTTAAGCAGGCTTAAGAGTAATCCCTATAACATAATTTCTTGTGTTACTTGTACGTAAGTATCACACAAATAGAATTCGTTGATGACACATCATCTTTTTACAGCTGAGAAAAATGAGTACTTAGTAACTTCTTGTATTTGGTAACTTGCATGAGGTCACGCAGCTGGAACTCAAATGCCATTCGGCCTCCTTTGCATGGGCCTTGTATGAGAGTACTGCCAAAATGGAACTAGAAGACAATCTTATTGGAATACAAAATGTTTGAAATCCACACTGTTTTTTCCCCATAGTATGAATTTCTGTGACCTTTTTGAGGCCTCCCTGTGTTTCGTTCCTTCCTCTTTGACCTCCCGAGGGAAGCATGTGGCTCTGCTCTCTCCCTGTGTGCTCAGTGCCCGTCTCCGCCCCTTCCCATGCTGTGGCCTGTGGCAGCTGATTCCCAGGGATCTCTCTCCCCGTGAATCTGAGATTGGTCAAGTCTTACACTACTAGGGACCGAGATGAGTTTCCTAGCACGACACTTACATAGAAATCAATTTGCAAGTTCTGACTTGGAGCACTCCTGTGGACTCTAGGCTCTCGAGAGTGACAGGTGGCTGCCGGGACCAGATGAGAGCCTTGTAGGTGGCTTACCCTAGACATCTGTGGGGTTTTTTTCCCCACCAATTTGTAATATCAGAAATTTTTCCATTTATAGTTTTAGAAAATTATAATAATGATGACTAGCATTTCTTGAAAATATTTACCATATATGCTAAACGCTAGTCTGAGTTCCTGTTTGCAATGTCTCGTTTAAACCTTGTAACGGATCATGAGATTATGATGGTTATTTTCATTTTGTACATTAGAAAATTTTAGCACAAGAGGTTAAGTACTTTGTCCAAGGTCACACAGCAGTCTAACTCCAGGTTGTAAGATTTGACTCCAGTGTTAGCCCACAGCTTTTTCGGTAGATTGGGGTCTTAGACCCATACTATTTCCCTAACTTTTAGTTCTTTTTTTCTAATTGATGATGGGATTGGAGTAGATTAGCACTGTGAATCAATCTAACTGCGTCTCACTTTTTCCTCTCTCCTACTTGTACCCAGCAGTGGCCACTCCCCAGCCCTGTGGTCAGGTGCTGTTTGAGATTCTTGGGACAAGCCAGGGAGTGCCCAAGGTGAAAGTCACAGCAGAAAGCGGCTGTTCTTTAGCTATCTTGGTATAACTTGCTTTTGTGTGACATACAAGTGAGATAGGTTAAAAAACAAAAGAAGCAAACAAGCAAACTGTGAAAACAATATGGAAACTGGGAGAAGGAGCAAAACTTCTGCACGTTTTCCTGTTTCTGATACTTGCTGGTTTATACAAGGATGTACAAGCTTTTGTGCTTTTCTACTAAAGGGTATGATTCCAAAACCCCCTTTCAGACCAAAGATTACAGGTGAGAAGGTGGGATGTGACCTCACAGATGTCTGGCTCCGTCTGTGGTTGGTGCTGAGAATCAAACACACCGCATGTCTTTTCTATGCTTATCCTCTTCCTGTCAGCAAAATGGAAGGAACCCAATCCTCCTTGCTTGCTTATGCTCACATTTTGAGGTGGCATGAGCAGCTTTAGGCTGTTCAGCTGGAAGGCATCATTTAGGTAAAAGTCTGCTTTTAAAAGAACATTTTTTTTTTATTCCTCTTGCAAATCTTGTTTCTCACTGACACAAACTGTGGAACTGTTGCGTAGGAGAATTCATTTCCTTCATAAGCTCCTGCCTTACCGTAGCCAGCCCTCCTAGTCCGTCAGGGGCTGTCTACTCAGGGTGTCCCTTCCTATGGTCTGCATGATGGCAGGACAGCCTGCTACAGCCTGAGTTTGTTCTTTTTAGTGGAGCGGCTTTGAACTCCCCAAGGTGAGAACCAGGAGCAATCTTAAGATGTGGTGTCTGAGCTTTGGAACTAGAGAACTAGGCTTGTATGGTAGCTGACCATGTAACCCCCGGGTAGTGTGCTCAACTCCTTTAAGCCTCGTATAAAGTGCAATGCAAGATGCCTCCTCCTGGGTGAGGGTCGTTCCAGGGGCTTCTACGGTTTCAGCAGGCAACAGAACCAAATGGTGCTGGAAACATATTGCCTGCATCCAGTCCCCAACCAACGACTGCCAAGCTCTGTGAGCCTGGGCCTGTCACGGTGCTGCTCTCTGCCTCAGTTCCCTCATCCATGTAGGGAGTCAAAGGAAGATGATACTTGGTAGAATTGTAGCTGTTGCGCAGCTTTCATGACTGCTGTGCACTCCCCTGGATTAGTGTCTGGCACACGGTAAGCACTCAGTGTTAGTGTTTAGTGCCACCCCATGCACTCCTCGGAGCACCGGTTGGGGATTGGTCACCTTACCACCTTGGTGTCTCACTCCTGTCGGGTTAATTTCTCTTTCCTTAACCCCTTTTGTAATTGTACTCCTTTGTCCTAACAGCTTGACTGTAGTGGACTCTGATGGAGCCAGCAACTCTACCACTGCCAACCTGACAGTGAACAAAGCCGTGGATTACCCCCCTGTGGCCAACGCAGGCCCCAACCAAGTGATCACCCTGCCCCAGAACTCCATTACCCTCTATGGGAACCAGAGCACCGATGACCACGGTATCAGCAGCTATGAGTGGTCCCTCAGCCCAAGCAGCAAAGGAAAGGTGGTGGAGATGCAGGTAGGAGGCCATGGTCTCTGCCTTCCTCTCCTAGGGGAAGGAGAATTGCTGGGCTCAGTTACCTTTCCAAAGCTTAGTTCTGCTCCATTTGTACTGCCAAAGTCAGCTTTATGAGTGGACCATTTAGATTATAAGAAGATCCTAAAAATAATTTTTTTTTTAAAAAATTAGGAAGCTTTGGTTAGCATGTTCAAGGAAATTCTCTCTTTCTGTAAGATTTATTTATTTATTTGAATGGCAGATTTACAGAGAAAGAGAGAGGGAGGGAGGGAAGGGGGAGAGAGAGAACCTTCCATCCACTGGTTTACTCCCCAGGCAGCCCAGAAGCCATATAGGTCTCTCACAGAAGTGGCAGGGCCTGTACACTGGGGCCATCTTCCACTGCTTTGGCCAGTTACATTAGAAGAGAGCTGGATTGGGAGTGGAGCAGCTGGGACTTGAACCAGCACTCATAATGGAATGCTGGCAGCACAGAGAGCAGCTTTGGCTTTACCTACCACACCACAGTGCCTGCCAGCCCCTCAGGAAAATCTATCTTAAGAATTAGAGAAAAAGCTGAATGAAAAATGTGGTTGCTTTGGATGATTCCAGAGAGTCAAAAGATTTAGGAACTATAAGGATACAAATCTGATTGAATGTTGTTAGAAATAGGAGGGACCAGCACTGTGAGATAGTAGGCTAAGCCTCTGCCTGCAGAGCCAGCATCTCATGAGCACTGTTTCATGTCCTGGCTGATCCACTTCCAATCTGGGAAAGTGGAGGAGAATTGGAGAATGGCTCAAGTCCTTGGGCTCTGCAGCCATGTGGCGGACTTAGCAGAAGCCCCTAGATCCTGGCCCGAATAACCTCACCTGCAATCATCGCAGCCACTTGGGGAGTGAACCAGCAGATGCAAAATCCTCTCTCTCTCTGTCTCTCCTTCTCTCTGTAATTCTGCCTAAGGGGGGAAGAAATCTTTTTTTTTTTTTTTTTTTTTTTTTTTAAGAAAGAAATTGGAGAAGATTGTCTTACTGGAAGTTGGGTATCTTCTTTCCTGAGAAGGTCAGATCAGACAAATAGATGAAAACAGCTGGTGTATGCAGGGGCACAGGGGGTAGTTGTGGGGCCATCTCTTCTTCAGGATCAGCCAGTTGTTGCCACATGGAGGTGTAGTACCAGGAGTGTTTGGTAGTCCCAACTTCTCAAAAGAAGACAAAAATGGAGAACTTTATGTAAAATTTCTAACTTGTAAGATACTACAGGCCAAACAAAATGCCTACAAGCTGGATTCAGCCCACAGGCTGCCTGCCAGCTTTTGCCCACTGTTCTACAGGAAGCTCCTGCATTGGAATTTTGCCCTAAATTATTTATAATGTTCCTTCTAATGCTCAAGTTTCTGGATTTGAAGTTTGCTGTGAGCCCTGTATGTTACCTGGCAGATTGCTCTCATGCTGCAGAATCATACCAAGTCTTAGTAAGTCGACTTACGGTGTCTGGTTCAACAGTCACTACTTAGACTGAATTGGGAAGTAATAGCTCAGTACCAACTTGGGTTTAGAAAACTGGGTAAATCGATTCCACCAGAGTAGGGATTATTGCTGCGTATCATGCTCACAGCAATCTGTTTTCCCACTTCCATATTTACATGTGTAGGGTGTCAGAACACCCATCCTGCAGCTCTCCGCAATGCAAGAAGGAGACTACACTTACCAGCTCATGGTGACTGACACTATAGGACAGCAGGCCACTGCTCAGGTGACCGTCATTGTGCAGCCTGGTGAGTCCCATCCCTGTGGCACAGGCCTTTCTCATGGCTCCTCTCTTGAACCTCAGTGGGTGTAAGGTGTCTAAGAGGAAAGAAGCAGAAGGCACCAGTCCGTGAAACTTCTGGCAACTTCTGTTGTCCATTCTCCCTGTGCTTTCTTTTTGGCTGGTGATCCCAGCCTCTGTACGTGCCCTCCCTTGGCTAGTTATTGTGCCTTAGAGGGCACGCAGGAGATGCGGGCTGTGCCAGCATAAACTCTTCCATGTTTTCCAGTGGCCAGTGTGAAACCCATTTCCTCAGGAAAGCCCCACTTGGACACTCACATTCTTTCAGTGGCCCCTCGTGGCCTGGTACTGTAGCTCGCTTTATGCTCTGTTGGAGTTGTTTGGTACTTCTTAGTCTTACATTTTCCCCTGTGAGCTCCCTAACAGTATCCCTGTCTCCCACATTATGTGCCATTCCTGTGGGCTCACACACAGGGTTCCCATACCTTCCAGCACCCGTGTCCCATTGGGTCTTCTCCTTTCTCAGCCAAGTGGATTGCTTTTGACCTCCACACCTCTGTCTCCTAGAGAACAACAAGCCTCCCCAAGCCGACGCCGGCCCAGACAAAGAGCTGACCCTGCCGGTGGACAGCACAACCCTGGATGGCAGCAAGAGCTCAGATGATCAGAGAATTGCCTCCTACCTCTGGGAGAAGACCCAGTGAGTGTTGGTCCCAGGCTACAGGAGAGTCTGTTTGCATTTGTTCCCAAGTACCGACTTGCTTTGACAAGCCCATCCAGTGGGAATACTGAGAAAGACATGCTTGCAGTCCCACATGTCCTCTCTAAGAAAGCAGTTTTATAGATAATTTTTTATAAGAAAAGCAGGACTGTTTGCCATCAGCTATGCCAGGTAGTACCACAGGAGCCTAGTGTTTCTGCAGGTACAGCCCCTCTGCTGAAATGCAATGTTTAATTACACATGAGAGGCAGGATGGAAGGGGTAATGGAGCAGAAAAGTATTATTGCTCAAAATTAACAGGGCAATGCTGGCAGGTGGGGAGAAGGGGGCAAAGGAGCTATTAAGAGGAATCAAAAATTCAAATACAAAATCAAAGTATTACTCTGTTATTGTTTCCTTGAAGACATCATTTACCAATTTATGTTAGCCAGAGGCCAAAGGCTTTACTGAAATAATACTAATTAAGCTGAAATTGCCTGATTGCACCATTCCTGCTTCTCACAGTTTCTTTGAGTTCCTTTAAACCGTAACAAATGGAACTCGAATTATATGCAGAATCCCACAGGAAGCAAAATAAGCCCAAGGGGAAGCTAAAAGCATTCTCCATTTCCGAAGGTAGCAGCCATTGTACAGGCTGGGTTTTCTGTTTGTTTCTGTTTTGTTTTGTTTTTTGACGAGGCACACTAGAGATGGGTGGAACGGGTGTAATCTGACTGGAAACCACTTAACTGCGTTGGTTTCTAGAAATTATCTCCCTCTGCTCTTGTTTCTCTATTACAGAGAGCGTGCTCTTCCTCAGCCCAGTATGCTTTTATTATAATTGCTTATTGAAGATACAGCTGGTAAACCTTTCAGCCGGGTTTTGTTAGCACTAAGCAGAGATCAAGCTCAGCATTGCTTTTGAGAGGAGACTGTGTTTCAGGAGATGCCTCTAGGGTCAGAGGTTCTGAATCTAATAAGCCCAACAAAATAAAGCAAACGCTGGTGTCTGCAGATTTCGCTGGCTCTTGTGTAGTTTTCCACACAGTGTGGGACATTCAGATGCTAGTGCAGAAGGGCTGCACTTGCTCCCTGCAGCCTTGTGCTCCGATGGCCCCTAGGGGAGGCAGGGAGCCAGGCCCCCTGCCCTCTGGCCCTGCCCCAGCCCTGGAGGGAGCCTTTCGCTGATGGAGCTGCTGAGAGGATGGCTTTGTCCTGAGAGTGCCTCTGCAGCCTTGGCTCATTGCCTTCAGGAGGGATTTGGACAAGTGTTAAAGAAATGTACACTTTGCTTCTTTACTGAGCCGAGCTAGTTACTGGGCCAGAAATGCTTTTCAGAAACTTTTTTTTTTTCTTTTTCAGAGGCAGAGAGAAAGAGCCAGAGAAAGGTGGCCTGCCCACCACAGTTGCAGCTAGGCCAGGTCATTGCCAGGAACCAGAGCTTGATCTGGATCTTCCCCCTGGGTGGCAGGATCCGTGTTCTTGAGCCATCTCCTGCTGCCTGCCACAGTGTGCGTTAGCAGGATGGGCTGTGGGCATCTGAACCACCAGACTGGACGTCTGCCCAGAAACCTCGCTCGAATGGTTATGCTGATTTGTGCAGAGAGGTTTCTTCCTTTTACAAATTGGAACAGTGAGGGATTCTAGCTTTCAGAAGCTGATGTAAAGGATAAGACTAAGACATATTTGAACACTAGGGAAGTGAATTTTGTGACCAGCAGGGAGCTTGTTGTTTGGGATCAAGTGGCACTTTGTCCAAATGGAATATTTTTAAATGTGTCCTGCTGAAGCCTGGGAAACAGTAGTTTTTGTCTTAGCAAAGGGAGTAGCTGTTTCCTCCTGCAAGATCAGGGTCAGGAGCGTGGACACAGGTCCCCCTCCACCCTGTGGTCACTGTCTTTCTCCAGGGGACCTGATGGGGTGCAGCTCGAGAATGCTAACAGCAGTGTCGCCACCGTGTCTGGACTGCAGGTGGGGACCTACGTGTTTACCTTGACTGTCAAAGATGAGAGGAACCTGCAAAGCCAGAGCTCCGTGAACGTCATTGTCAAAGAAGGTACGTCCCTGCCTCTGGCTTGGGTGACAGCTGAGGCATCTTGTTCGCTTCAGTGGCTACAGAATGTATTAGAACGAGGTGGGGCAGAAGGGTGGCAAGAGGGCAGTAGGTTTTTTGCTTTTCTAAAACAACCTTTCATTGAGAGTGACCGTAGGGTGACCTTTTCACTTCCCTGCTGCCCTCTCTTCCCTTGCTCCCAGCTGACTACCCCGAACGGGTAAAGGATGGAGGGCTCTTCATTGGTGTTTTCATTTTGCCTCTTTGCTGAGTCTGTGACTCTGGCTGCAGTGACACCTGCTGGCAGGCCTGAGGATAACGACACTGCACTGCAGCCTCCTGTAGCCGCAGGCCCAGGCTGACTCAAGGCCAGGATGAGTTGACCTAGCTCTGGCTTGCAGGTGCAGTGACCAGTGAGCACCTGGGAGAGGGCCAGGAGCTAATAGTGGGAAAAACCATCAGATGTGCAGGCTGGGTACCTTGAGCTCCAGACCCATATACTGAGCTTAGTAATTACCGAGCAAACAAAGCATCAAACGGGCCCAGAATAGGAGAGAGTTCCCTGTCCTTTTTCTCTCATTAAGTATCAAGGCAGGAACCAAATACGGTGTTCAGTGACCAGCGCTTTAAGAGATTTTCAAGAATTGTTGGTGTTGATTCATGAAGCCCAAGCTCTCAGGCTTGAAATGACCTGGGCTTTTTGTTTACTCCTTCCTGTGCCCTGGTATCGAGACCACAGTTCTCTGGTGGGATGGGAGACCTACATACTATTGGTTACTATCATGGGCAGACACTGAAAAGATTTTGCCATTTAAGGTGCTGTTGGTACTTAACTTCCTGAGGAAGGAAGGCACCTTCCTTCTTCTGTAGAATGTCTATGATTTCAGTGATTCTCTTTGGTTAGAAATGAACAAACCACCTACAGCCAGGATAACTACGAATGTGGTGATTACCCTGCCCACGAACACAGCAGAGCTGGATGGCTCCAAGTCCTCAGATGACAAGGGAATAGTCAGCTACCTCTGGACTCGAGATGAGGGCAGTCCAGCAGCAGGGGTAAGTGTGCCAGGAGCTGGGGGTGGTGGCGAGTGGCCACATGAGGATTAGGTAACAAGATGGAGCCTAGGGGGAGACCAAGTATTTTAATACATATTTTTAAAGATTATTTTTTTTTACTTATTTGAATATCATAGTTACATAGAGAGGAGGAGAGACGGAGATCTGCCATCTCCTGGTTCACTTGCCAGATGGTCACAGGCCCGGACTGGGGCAAGCCAGAGCTAGGAACTAGGGGTTTCATCTAGGTCCCTTACATGAGTACAGGGCCCCAAGAATTTAGGCCATCTGTACTGCTTTCCCCAGGCACATTAGCTTGGAGCTGGCTAGAAAGTGGAGAAGCTGGGACTCTAACCAGTGCCCACATGGGGTACCAGCATTGCAGCTGGCAGCTTTACTCGCTGTATCCCAACGCTGACTCCATCAACATCTGTTTTAACCAAGAAGCCCCCAAATCCAATCTAGATTATTCTCTAAATGACTTGCTGAGTGTCATTCTGTATGCTAGGGTCCTCTGCCCTATCCTAACAGCTGTGGCCTGAGCTGCCCAGAGCTGAGGCAGTCCAGCCAGGATGGGGGTGGGAGGAGGTTCTGTGCTGGCAGAAGCAGGCAGGCACTCCGAGAAAGCAACAGAGTTCTGTCCTGCAACTGGCTGTGTTGTGCGACCCTACAGGAGGTGCTAAACCACTCTGACCATCACCCCGTCCTCTTTCTTGCCAACCTGGTCGAGGGAACCTACACCTTTCACCTGAAAGTGACTGATGCAAAGGGTGAGAGTGACACAGACCGGACCACAGTGGAGGTGAAGCCAGGTAAGTTCCTTCTGTGATGAGCCTGTCAGGGCCTCTGTCCTGAACTCCTTCCCCTCAGCCAAGACAGAGCTGGATGGCATATGTGCTGTCACCTGGAGTCCGGAGATCCCGAGCTAAGGAATCCTCAGGGACTGACCCAACAGCAACCCTCCTCCCCATGCAGACACCCCATGCCCCTGTTCCCGCTCAGCTCAAATGGAGAGACAAACTCCGAGAGGGCAGGGCTTGCTCAACGTCACACAGCGGTTGTGTCAGAGCCAGGCCTCTGTGCCCCTCGTCTAGCCCTTTCTCAGCACGTGACTGTGGACAGTGGGCCCAGGGTACTCTGGGAACATGAGCTCATGCTGTCCCATCAGCTTCCAGCTGTGAAGCTTCAGGCCTTACCTAGCATCCCCAGACAGGTAAAGCAGCTAACATCCTGTGCTTCCTTGAGAGATTCAGAAATAAGCTGTCTTCCTTAATAGAGCCATGTTTTTGTTTTTGCTTCAAAGCTAATTTGGTGATAAGGAAGAACTGAATGTGGAGGTGGGGAGAACTTTATAAATCACTGGGCTTCTGATGAGAAGGCATTAACTTCAAACCTCCTCTTGATGATGTACAGATGACGGAGATGGGATGGTACCTCTGTCCTTGTCCTGGCTCAGAAAGGACAGCAGATGAGATGCTGTGAAGTCCCCTTAGCTTGGAGACTCACAGACAGCCTGCTGATGGTGTGGAGTACACATGCAAACAGGCAAATGGCACGTCTGAGTATGTGAATAGCACGTTCCGAGCATCCACCTTTTACTCCCACGTGTAGAGCACTCTTTGGGACATATCCATAAGAAAAGCACACTCGACCCACAGTTCTAGGGTTTAAAAAGTCAGTGCAGCTGTGTGCCGGTGCCCAAGGAAATCCTGGTTTCTTGGCCTGGATTTCCTATGGTCGCTGAACTGGAACCTGGAGGGCAAGATGCCCTCCTTTCCCCTCCTGAGAGGAGCTGAGAGGGAGTTTTTCCCCGGAGTAGACAGAGCTCAGTGTGTCCCCAACAGTGACTGAGTCAGGAGAGGGTGCCTGCTTTGTGCCATGTAGGTGGAGATCCCAGCCACACCAGCCCAGCAGAGGCTGTGTAGTGTCGATGGCTCAGAGTTCCCCTCTCTTCCTGCTTCCCCTCCCTAACCCCTCCTGAGACCCCTCTAGCCTGTGTGCAGTCACCCACAGATAGCCAGGAGAACGGGCATGCTCCTCCAGCCAGCCCCAGTGCCCAAACAGGGCCCTTCCACTCAAAGAAAGGCCAAATGCCTTTGTTCCACAGCACATGCACCCTGGCTGGCAGGGCTGCATTCATGCTCCAATTCTAAAGCCATGACTGGTCCACGTGCCTTCCAGATCCCAGGAAAAGCAACCTAGTGGAGATCATCTTGGACGTCAACGTCAGTCAGCTCACTGAGAGGCTGAAGGGGATGTTCATCCGCCAGATTGGGGTCCTCCTGGGGGTGCTGGACTCCGACATCATTGTGCAAAAGATTCAGCCGTACACGGAGCAGAGGTAGCTGGGCAATGCCTGGGGGGAGAAAAGGAAAGACCAGGGCTCCCTGGCCTTCTGGAGCGAGCCGAGAAGCAGCCTGGACAGGCAGGGAAGGGTGGGTCCTCCAGCCAGCAGTCCCTCACGGCATCTGTCTCTGCCCTGGTCCCGCTCACTCACTCTGTCCCTAGACACTCAATGGGGTATGGACAGGGGTGGAGGAGATCTGCTCTTTTGGAAGCCCATAGTCTGTTTCGGGACAGTCAGGTGCACATAGCGCATACAGTCCACCCTGCGTAGCATCATGGAAATGCACAGGCGGGAACAGTTAAGTCTTCCCGAAGAACGAGGGGGCAGGGGGTGAAACTTCCCAAAGCTGACCTAGGGAAACCAGGTGCAACTTCAGGTCCAGGTCCCATGATGTGAAAGGGTAGCATGTCTTCAAGAAGCAACCATCTGGTGCAAAAACCCCAGGGTGGGATATGAGGCTGGCTGTGGAGACACCAGAGCTGTGCACGTTAGCTCTGAATGTCTGCCCAGGAGGACCCTCGTTGCTTGGTTGTGTGTGTATATGAGGGGTGCTTGTTTTATTTTTAAAGCAAGGAAATCCTTTAAAAAAAATTTTTTTTTTCTGTAAGAAGGCTAGATAAAAATAGGGAGAAACTGCGGGCTAGAGAACCAGTCAGAAAGCTTCTAGAATAGTCCAGTTGAACAGGCGTAAAACCTGAATTAAGGTGGTGTTAGAAGGGAAAGAGAACTGGAGGTGCATCCACGGGACATGGTGGTCGGCGGAGTGCCGTTGGTGAAGCAGTGATGCCAAAGGTGTCGGTGCAAGTCTGAAGAGCTAGCCCAGGCCGTCTGCCCGGCTGGAGGGACAAAGGGAACCTGTTTGCGCTGGTGAGCCTGGGTGTATTGCAGGTACAGGGAGAGATATGCCACCAGACACTTCCAGGAGGATTCTGGAACTTGGGTGGGAGGAAGAGCCAGAGAGACGTGGAGTCACCCGCATATGCGCAGGGGTCACAAGCATGAGGATGGAACAGTCCCTAATGGGAGAGTGAGGAGGGAAGGACAGAACTATGGAGAAGAACACCAGTATTTCAGAGGACACAGAGAAAGAGGTAGCAGAGGAAACGAAGATCAGTCAGGGAGGTGGGAGGAAGGCCAGGAGAACACCTGTCCGGGACAAATACGTGAGCCTCGGGCGGACTACCAGGAGGTGCAGAGGGAGAAGCTGTGGAGGGGACAGGGGTGGTCCGTAACAGACAGCTGAAGGTCTTGGGGTCCAGCGCAGGAGAAAGGAGGAGGTGCCGGTGTGGGTGTGATTGTGTTGGTCCAGTGTCCTGGGTTCCATCTGAGGGGGTGGGAGGGAAGTTAGAAGCAGCTCTGGGGAAGGCTGCAGAACTGGGGTTCCAGCTGAGGGCCGAGGCAGCAGGTGACAGAGGTTCCAGACTCTGCAGCAGACATGCCGGAAGCTTCTCTGAGCTTTTAACCTGAGCCCCCACCCCTGACCTGCAGCCAGGAGGGGCTGTGCACCCAGGACACCTCAGCCCCTCAGCTGGCTGTGATATGCACTGGGCCTTGCAGGCTCCGAGGCAGGGTGATGAGGCCTTTTTGTTTTTGCTTAAGCTGTACTCACAACTCAGACACAGAACAAGGGCAATGGCTTGTGGTTTGTTTGTTTTGTTTTGCTTTTTGGTAATAGTTATGTGAACGGCAGTGTTAACAGAAAAAAAGGAAAGTGAGACAGAGAAGGAGATATCTTCCATCTGCTGAATCATTCCCAGAGCCAGGCCAGGCCCAAGCCAGGAGGCTGGAGCTCCATCCGGGTCTCCTAGATGTCAGGGACCCAAGCACTCGGGCCATCTTCTGCCCTTTCCAGTCCTATTAGCAGGGAACGGAATCAGAAGTGGAGCAGCTGGGACTCGAACCAGCCCTCGGGAGGGGTGCTAGCATCCCAGGCAGCTGCTTAACCTGTGTCACAGCACCAGCACTGGCCAGGTGGCTCTTGCAGAGGGGGCCTAAGGAAGAGAGAAGGATGTGAACTCCTTTGGGTTCTGGTTTGGGTGGATTGACTTAGTGTAGGAATTCAGGGGCAGCATGTTGCAGGAGCAAGAAAACACGCCCCAGTGGGCAAGCCTGAGGGCCTTCCACTCACGCACGCACGCGCGCACACAGCTCTGAACTGTACCCATCAGGGATCTCTGTGGCTGTGGGAGTTACTCTACCTTTCTGAGCCCATTTCATCACCTGTGAAAGTACCAGTATCTGCTACTGAGGGGAAAATGAGATCATCTTGGTGTGGTCCCTAACATGTAGTACTCCTTTAAAGGGTTTTGCCCCATGTCGGAGGGCTCTGTGGACGATCGGGGTAGATATTGTCATAAGCGTTTGCGCGTGGAGATTGGCCACACAGGAGAGGCGTGGGGAGAGGAGATAAAGATTTGAGGAGCTTTGATGTAAAGACAGAAATGGATCTATAAACATGGATAGGGAACCAGGCAAAAGCAAGGGGAAGCACGTTTCTTGATTCTGGAATTCCTAATGCCCCACTCAGCCTCACTGTACAGCAGGTTCCTGAACTTTGATGTGTGACACACACAACATCATCCTGTCCATTTGGGACCTTGGGATAGAGACAAGCGGCCCTGGTGGCCCAGGGCAGTAGGATCCACAGGCCCCACCCAGCCGTGCCACCTGTACAGGGCATTGAGATCCGAGCAGGACTGACATGGAGACTGGATCCTGTGCTGCTCAGATGTGAGCCTGTTTTGTCTCAAACAGAAAATGATCATCTGGACTGGCCACACCATGGCGTTGCTTTTGTTGTTATTGTCATCACAGCCGTAGTTTTGACTTGTGGATAATCTTTAGTGCACTTTACAAAGCGCAGCAGTTTGTCTTACAAGCAACCCAGGAGGAAATCCAGCAGCACCACTGGCTTAGCCTTAAAAAGGCTGGCAACAAGAATGTAGCCCCAGCCTGAGCCCTGCTTTTTTCATCCTGTAGCTGGCCATTTGCAATGGGTACTCCTGTTAGCCCGGCCAGCTAGAAGTATTAAAAAAAATTGTGGCCCAGTGAGGTGGGCTAGCAGCTAAAAGTCCTCTCTTGAACATGCTGGGATCCGATATGGGCACTGATTCTAATCCCGGCAGCCCTGCTTCCCATCCAGCTCCCTGCTTGTGTCCTGGGAAAGCAGTCGAGGATGGCCCAAAGCTTGGGGACCCTGTACCTGCATGGGAGACCTGAAAGAGGCTCCATGCTCCTGGCTTTAGACTGGCTCAACTCTAGCCATTGCGGTCACTTGGAGAGTGAAACAGCAGTGCATGGAAGATCTTACTCTCTGTCTCTCCTCCTCTCTGTATATCTGACTTTGCAATAAAAAAGAAAATAAATCTTTTTTTTTTTTTTTAATGTGCTGGTTTATAGAAAGGCAGAGAGAAATACCAATCTTCCATTCACTGGTTCCCTTTGTAAATACCTACAGCAGCCCGGGCTAGGCCAGGCTGCACCGGGAGCCAGGAACCACTCTCCGCATGGATGGCAGCATCCTGAGGACTGGGGCTGACACCTGCTGCCTCCTGCGGCACTCAGGAGCATCAGGCTGTCCTAGAAGCAGGGATGGGACTTGAGTCAGGCATTCTGGTCTGGGGAGGAGGCCTTCCTGGTGGCAGCTTAGTTGCTGTGACAGATGCCTGCTCCAGCTCAGGGTGCTTAATGGGTTTTGGGGTGGGCTTCATGACACAGCACTTAGGCCGCCTCTGGGGACTCCTGAGTGCTGTATTGGGTACCGCTTGAGTCTGGCTGCTCTGCTTCTCACCAGCTCTCTGCTAATGGACCTGGCAAGTGCAGAGGCTCCTGTCAGCCATGTGGGAGGCCCTGGGGAGCTCCCAGCGCCTGGCCTTGGCCTCACCCAGGCCTCACTGTTACAGGCCTTTGAGGTAAAGCAGATCAGTGGATGGAAGCTCTCATTCTCCATCTCTCCATCATTCTGCCTTTCGTAAGTAAGTAAATAAATCTGTAATCAAGAAGTGAAGGAATGGACTTTGGAGTCAGACATAACAGATTTGTGATCTGGCTCTGCTGTAATTAACTGTGTGACCTTGGGCAAGTTACCCCTCTGAGCTCCCGGTTGTCTCGGTAGACGGAGAGGACACCCATAACTCTGACCGAGTGTGCATACACTTAGAAGGTGCTGAGCACATGGCGCCTGTCGCTGCTGTGGCCGCGGACAGCTCCGGCTCACTCCTGCTGTTGCGTGTCTCCACAGCACCAAGATGGTGTTCTTCGTTCAGAACGAGCCTTCCCACCAGATCTTCAAGGGCCATCAGGTGGCAGCGATGCTCAAGAGTGAACTACAGAAGCAAAAGGCAGACTTCCTGATATTTGGAGCCCTGGAAATCAACACTGTCAGTGAGTGATGTGGGGGTGCAGGGGCATGACTATCCCCTCCCTTGAGTCCCCGTGCCCGGGGGCACACGGGCCCAGTCAGCCTGCATGGCTGTCATCAAGTGTCCCGAGTCACTGCTGGGTTCTGAACCTGGGGCTTGGAGAGAGGCTGCAGGGGCGCTGGGAGCTTGGACCAGGCGAGTTACTGTCCTTGGCCCGAGCCTCTTGATTGCACAGGTTGGCATCGGTGCAGGATATGTGACTTTGGGGCGAGAGGAATCACAAGTCACTTCATGTCCTCACATGACAGAATACCACGCTGATTACTTCAAAATTGAAACAGTGGTTAGATCCACTCCTAGGGCTTGTTACTTACTACTTTAATAGACACAGATTTCAAAACTTTGTGTTCTTACAGATTTCAAAGCCATGTTCAGTTTTAATTTCTTTCCTTTGTAATAATAAATGTGTTTTTTACTTGTGTAATTGCAATCTCCTCTAAGAGGGTGGGGAGGCCAAGGGAAAGCAGTCAGGGTGCCTGTCTGGCGGCCTCTAGCTGCTCCCATTTCATGGCCATGAACTGGTGACAGCAGGCCATGCACTGCCTGTCACAGCAATGGGGCAGGTGTCCTGGGAGCTTCCCCAGGGGGCAGCGGGGTGGCAGGCTTTGGGGCATAACCTCACAGCCCGTGACACCAGCTGGCCTTTTCCCTTCTCTGCCACCATCAGCGTGTCAGCTCAACTGCTCAGACCATGGCCACTGTGACTCGTTCACCAAACGCTGCATCTGCGACCCATTTTGGATGGAGAATTTCATCAAGGTGCAGCTGAGGGATGGAGACAGCAACTGTGGTAAGCTGCTGGGCGGACAGACGAGCCGCGCTGGCCGGCGGGCAGCTCTGTCTCCTGTGGGCAGGGTGGGGAGGCAGCCAGGAGAAACACTGCATGCCTCCTGAGGACTTCCGTGTGAAGCAGGACCAGCTGAAGCCTCCAAGTGTCTCTGCTGTGGGATCACCAGCACAGCTGATGCAGGGCTCTCGGAAGGGGCAGGGCCATTGGCTGGCCTCATGTGGGAGAAGCTGCCGGCAGCCCAGGGCAGCCCACACTTCCCTCCTGACCCCCTGCCCTGCCTTCTCTGGTTTTCTGGGCAGAGTGGAGCGTTCTGTATGTGATCATCGCCACTTTCGTCATCATTGTGGCCTTGGGAATCCTGTCTTGGACCATGATCTGTTGCTGTAAGAGGTAAGATGGCTTTCCTTCGGGGTTTACCTGGACTGCTGGTCACAAATCCATCCCTCTAGGAGGTAGTTAGCTCCTTCAGCAGGGAAGCACTGTGCGGGCGTCCTAGGCAAGATTAGGGTTGAGGACCCAGTGCAGTGGCCTAGCGGCTAAAGTCCTTGCCTTGAACACGCCAGGATCCCATATGGTCGCCAGTTCTAATCCCGGCGGTCCTGCTTCCCATCCAACTCCCTGCTTGTGTCCTGGGAAAGCAGTTAAGGACTGCCCAAAGTCTTGGGACCCTGTGCCCGCATAGGAGACCTGGAAGAGCTCCTGGCTTCTGGCTTCAGATCAGCGCAGCACCGGCCATTGCAGTCACTTGGAGAGTGAATCAGTAGACGGAAGATCTTTGTCACTGTCTCTCCCTCTCTGTATGTCTGACTTTGCAATAAAAATAAATAAATCTTTAAAAAAAAGATTAGGGTTGACCTGACACTCCCATCCCCAAGACCTGTGCAGGGAGATTTCTGCACTGCCACCACTGCCAAGGGCAGAAGCACCGCTTTGCAGCCACGGTAAGCAGGCAGGCCTGGCACTGGAGCTGGATCCCACCTCTAACCTGCACAGCACAGCCCAGTGTGCCATGGCTGCTGCCCTGCTGCAGGAGCAGAGAGCGAGGTGCGGTGGGCACGGCCCTTGTCTGAGGCTGCCAGCTCATGACGCAGCTCTTCACCTTCACAGCTGACCTCTTGTTCCGTCTTGATGCGCTTTCTGTGTCAGCCGTGTGCCACGCAATGGTTCCCTTTTATATCTTTGAAGATTTATTTATTTAGTTAGTTAGTTGAAAGGCAAAGTTAGAGAGGGAGAGACAAAAGAGAAAGATCTTTCATCTGTTGGTTCACTGCTCAAATGGCCACAATGGCTGGAGCTGGGCCAGTCAGAAGCCAGGAGCCAGGAGCTTCTTCTAGATGGCACTTGGGCCATCTTCCGCTGCTTTTCCCAGGGGTTAAACAAGGAGCTGGATCAGAAGTAGAAGTGGAGCAGCTGGGCCTTGAACCCACACCTGTATTGGGATGCTGGTGCCATAGGTGTTGGCTTTGCTTGCTATGCCACAGCACCAGCCCCAGTATTTTCTATTTCAGCGCACACAACCTTTTCTGATTTTACAGATGGAGAAACTGAGGTTCAGGAAAAATCTGTCAGAGGAGGCCTGATAGGGAGGGCCAAGGTCACCCTGGCGTATAACCTGCTAGACAGCTGAGGAAGCGATAAGGGTTAAGGAAGATGTTCACCAGCCAGCCAGTCACCATTTACAGCTGTGTTGGGGCAGCAGGTGCCTCCTCTCACCACCTCAAGCAGAGGGCTATTACTATTATTATTTTATTATTATTATAGAGGCAAAGAAAGACAAAGGTTTAGAGAGAGCCATCCCATCTGGTGATTCACCCCTCTAGTGCCTACAATAACTGCAGCTGGGCTGGGGCCAAAACTGGGAGCCAACACTCAACCTGCCGCCCCGCCCCCGTGGGGAGCAGGAGTTCAGTTGCATGCCACTGCCTGCTGGGATCTACTGGGGTCTGCTGGGGTGAGGAGCAGGAGCCGGGATGGAGCCCAGTGCTCTGCTGGGAGACGCTCGCATCCTGAAGGATGTCCTAACTGCTCGGCCATCTGCCCCACTTTGCATTCTGACGGGTCCATTGCTTGTGGTGCGATGCTTGCAGCTCCCGTGCCTTGTGCTTTGTCCCAACGTGCGCAGGGACCAAGTCACAGCGCAACTCCCCCCCCCCCCCCCGGCTGCTGAGTAAATGCAGACACCCCAGGGGGCAGCCCAGGCCCATGAGCCTCTGTCCTGAGCAGGATTGTGTATTTTAGGCAAAAAGGAAAACCCAAGAGGAAGAGCAAATACAAGATCCTTGATGCCACCGACCAGGAGAGCCTGGAGTTGAAGCCGACCCCTCGGGCAGGTAGGGCCCGGGTTCTGGGCATTCTGTCTGCGGGCTGAGCAGGTAGGGCCTGGGTGCTGGGGACTCCAACTGTGAGCAGGACAGGTAGGGCCCGGGTACTTAGCTCTGAGGGCTGGGCAGGTAGGGCCCAGGTGCTAGGCTGGGCGCTCGGTCTACAGGCCAGTAACATATTTGTGGGCAGGGCAGGTAGGGCCCTAGAGTGGACAGGGCCGCTCATGGCTGGGCTGGGACTGCATGGTGTTTCCTAGCTTGGAAAAGCATACCCCGGTCTGCTCTCCTCTAATCCGCTTGGCCAACACATCACGGTCACCTGGAGCCCTCCTCGGAAATGCATCTAGAATTCCCTGCCTCGCTAGCTTGTCATGCCTCTACCCAGAGCACCTTCTGTCCCATCCCCTCCTGCCTTTGGCAGTTCTTTACTCATCAGCCACAGCACTTTCTCGAAAACGTGAAAGAAATCAGCCCTGTAAACGCCCCTGCTGGCTCCCACTGCTCTCGGCAGCATCCACAGCAAGGTCCCCACAGACTCGTGCCCCCCAGCCCGGCGCCGGGGCTTCCGGGCAAGCTGGGGCTGGTGTGTTGGAGAAGGCTGCTGTTTGCTTGAGGATGGTTCTGGAGAGAGTTGAGGAAATGAGGCTGGAGGGTTGATGGGCCAAGTTGGGGAGAATTCTGAACGTTAGCTGGAGCAACCAAGCCTTTGTTCCGACACTGCACGGAAGTGACATCCTAGGAAAAGTGGCCTGGGGACAACTCAGAAGCTGCAGAGGGGAGAGGTTGCGGGGGGGGGGGGGGGAGGCCCCCAGAGGGCTGCGTGCAGTGGTTGGAGGAGGAGGTCATGAGGGGGGAAATAAGGAGTGTCACAGAACTGGGGAGCAGGCAGTCAGGCCGCCTTCCAGGAGCACAGGAGGACTGCATGGGTGACCGGAGGGGAGTCGGTGGGATAGTGAGACTGGAGCATGGATGGAAGGGTTGTCCCAGGCCCTAGGGCACGTGCGTGGACGGTAAGGTGGACAGAGATGGTGGGCTACCGAGGCCCCTATGGCTGAGCAGTAAAAGCAGAGAGGCAGGACAGTGGGGGGCGCTCTAGGTTTGGGGTTCCTGACCAGCCTCTGGAGGTGGGCCAAGGCAAGGCAGGAAAATTGTGAGGAGCACAGGCTCTTGCGGGGAGGAGGGGAGGGCGGGGGAGGCTGCAGGGCTGCAGAGGGGCCCTGCGTGGGAGGCTGGTCAAGGCCCGGGAGGGGGACGGGGAATGCACACCCAGGGGGCCTCGCAGGCTTCTTCCACTCCGATCAGCAGGGTGAGGGCGGGACTGTGCCACATGAAGCAGGGTGAGGCGGCAGAGGGAGTGCGGGGAAGGCCAGGGCCGAGCCAGAAGTAGCCTGGGTTTTGTATTGGTTTAATTTCTTTCATATTGGTGTTTTCGAAGCGATCTGTTTAAGTAGTTCAGGTTGAAGCATATGGAATTCCTGGTACTTTAGAATTTTTTGGCCTAGAAAAATAGCCCTTCTGATGTGGTTCTCCCTAATCCGAGCAGAAAATGGGAAGTGCAGCTGGGTGGGCTCTCACAGTGCCCCCCATGCTTCCTGGTGCCGACCCGCAGACCCCTCAACCCCTGGTCACCTGGCGTGTCAGGCTGGTGTGCGGGAGTGGGACTCGTGTCTTACTCTGTCCCCGTGTTGCGTGCAGTACTCCGTTCATCCCCGTGCTGACTGCTGCCGACATGTCTGCCCACAGGCAGTTCATGCGTTCCATTCTCTCTCTCGCTCTCTCTTTCTTTAAGATGGCATTACAGAGAGAGCTGGACACACACAGAAAGAGAGCTTCTGTCTGCTCATTCTCTCCCCTAAGTGCCACAGCACTGGCCATTTCCATTTTTCTCTCGAATGTGCTGCTGGGAATGACGACTGTGCCTTGGTGGACATGGATGTGGATGTCTGATGGGCGTGGGCTCAGGGTGGACTTGCTGAGTCACGGAGACATGTGTGTTGAGCTTTTGTTGGTGCACACACTTCTCGGCAGGCATGATTTGGTGGGTGATGTGCACCTGGTGCCTCAGGCTGAGCGACGGTGTGTGGTGGCCAGGCCTGGTAGACTGCGAGGAGCCCGTGTATCCTCTGGTACCCTCCCATGTGGCTGTGGGTGGGAGGCACCTGCTGCACGCTGGGAGGATAGGCTGAGCTCCCATCTGCAGGGCCTGTTCTCATCCTGGTCACTCTCCCTACTCCACTGGACAGGTGCAGGCTGCCTGCGCACTTCTGTGGTCCCGATGTTTTGCCATCTTGAGGCCAGCCGGCAGGTGGCGCTGCAGGCCTGTTCCAGAATGTGGGTGGGCCCATGTAGGCTCCAGACCCAGTGGAGTGCAGTCCTAGTGTGGGTCCTGGTGACAGGTATAGCTGGGGGAGGGAGGGGGGCCCTCAGCCTGTGCAGCCCAGAGCACTGCAGCTGTGCGGGAGGCAGAAGGGAGGGGCTGAGTAACCCCTGCAGCTGCTCCAATGTTGGGGAGTGGGGTCGCAGGCACCAGCCCGCTGAAGCTGCTTGGCTCACACAGTGTCTCGATTGGTCACTGCCATCGTTTATTTCAAAAGCCAAGGGCTACAGCAGGACAGAGGTGAACTTTCCTCCACGGCCACACGGGTGAGCCACCAGCTGCTGCCTCCCAGCGCGTGCTAGCAGGAAATTGGATCAGAGGCAGAGCGGCCAGCACTGGAAGCTGGCACTTCCATACAGCTTGCAGGTGTTGCGAGCAGGCAGACTCCTGTGCTGTGTGCCCCTGTCCCTGGTCACCTTTGTCAGAGAAGGGGCAGTCGCGCAGCTTTGCCTGTCGCTCGGCTCCTCTCCGTTCAGGAGGTCTGTCCTGATGGTCTGCTCTTCCCTACAGGCGTCAAGCAGAAGGGCCCAGCACCGAGCAGCAGCCTCATGCACTCCGAGTCGGAGCTGGACAGTGACGATGCCATTTTCACATGGCCCGACCGAGAGAAGGGCAAGCTCCCACACGGCCAGAATGGCTCGGTGCCCAACGGGCAGACCCCACTCAAGGTCCGGAGTGCACGGGAGGAGATCTTGTAGCTGCCTGGCCTGAGGCCTCAGGGCAGGGACTAGCAGTGCACAGCACCCAGGGGCCACTGCCACCCTCTGGCATCTGCTGATCACTCTGTGCCGTGCCCCGGAACTGTTGGTACCCAAACCCGGACACTCCAGGAACCATGAATGAAGCTGTGAACCAAGGGGCTGCTCCCCAAGCCTGTCCGGTAGGCCCCAGCCAGTGCACGCCCCAGGGCCTTGGTTCAGGTTGTGAGGCTGCTCCCAGGGCATGCCTGGTGAGTTACCCGCCCCGTGTGCCTGGCTGCAGCCGTTCGGCAGCCCTTGGAGGGTGTGGGAGGATGGCCTAGGGTGGGAGGGACCCCTGGCTGCTGGGCCGTAGGCAGATGGACACCCCCCTTCTCGGCCAGCACTTGCTGCTGCGGGGCTCAGGCCCCTCTCCTGGCTGAGACTGCATGGCCTTGGCAGGGAAGTCAGCCACGGCGTGTACCCTCTGTCCTCTCCCCAGGGCCCTGGCACAGGGTCTCAGGGCATGGGCACCTGCTCCCACGGGGCTTGTGGCTGCGCACAGGCAACCTTGACTGGAAAGATGAGTTCCCTGTCCTGGTGCCCACCACCCTGGTGCCTGGGGTTGGGGACTGGGGAATCAGGGAGAGACTTTTTAAAGAAACTTAGAATTTCTACTACTGCACTACTGTTGTGATGATTAAACTGGCTATTTAATTGTGTGTTGGCCTGCACTGCTGTGATCCTGCCTGCTCCCTGTGGGGGGCGCCACCTTGCCATGCCCTGCACCTCACAGCTTTCTTTGACCCAGAAGTGGGGTGCATCCTCCCAGGACTGAGCTTGAGCCCCGCAGCGTCCTGAGCTGTCCGACCGTCTCATCCTTTAGGTCCCCTGCCCCGTCAGTCCCGGGTGGCCACACGCCCTGGTCGTGTTCCCTGTTCCCTGTGACACTTGGTCAGCAGGTGGCAGACAAGCTGGACAGCCTTGGACGTCCCGAGGGAAGTCCACTGAGCCAGCACCCAGGCATGGCAAGATGCAGCAATTGTGCGCCTTGCTCCGGACCAGCTTGGCACATGCCAGCTTGGAATCGCTGGGTTCCCAGGGTGGGGGAGGCTTTCCAACATCTGAGGACCCCTGTTTCGAGAGCAAGATGCCCCTGTGCAGTGTGCCACCTTGGAGCAGAAGGAGCAGGGTGCCCTGTGGTGAGTGCGGCTCAGCTGCCCTGGGGCGTGGGGCAGGGTTTGTTGCTGCCCAAACAGGCACCAGGATGAGCACGGCATGCAGATGGCAGAGTGGGCCTGGGCAGAGCCAAAGCAGGAGACCAGGACTTGGGGGCCTGTTGCCTCAACGTCGCTCACAGAGGTGTGGGGCTGGACCTCAAGGACTGGCCTTTCCCTGGCTCTGCAGAAGGCCTCCCGGTGCCCCAGACTCATTTCTGCCCTCCAAAAGGGGGCACTTTTATCTCAGAAATGAAGGAAATACCTCCACCCCTTGCTTTCCAACACTCCTTCCTCAAGTAGACAACTGAAGGGAACCTGGCTTGCTTTCCAGGCCCGGAGTTGGGGGTGATGCATGGAGTGTCACGCCCCCTGGTGGCCACCAGGAGCTGCTTCAGGGGAATGAGACCTCTGTCACCCCAAGCCACCCTTCCCAGCTACTGCTGGCTCCTGGGCCTTAGCCACTGAGCCCTTCCTCGGCCCTTGCCCAGTCGGACAGAGGAAATCCTTGTATGTCTCAGCTGCACCCTGTTAGCAGTCCCAATGCTGGAAACTGCAGCTTCAGCCTGTTGTTGAGGTGATGGCCAGAGAGTGGGAGGTGTCCCAGAGGTGGACTCAGCAGCACCAGACTGGGCAGCAGGGGACTGCTCCTACACAGAGCATGGCCTGCCTGGCTAAAGCCCAGTGGCATACTTGCTAGCTGAATTGGGGTCACCATTGTCACTTCCCACTTGCATTACCTAGAATTTATGGTAGGTGGGGTGCTGGTGGCTCGCTGATGTGCAGGCTTTCCAGGCTTTGGGCTGCCCACTCCTAAGGGCCTAGGCAGGGTATGTGTGTCCCAGGGTGTAACAGCTGCTTAGAACCACCTGGAGAGTTCAAGATCCAGGAGTGGGAGTGGGTCCAGTAGGCAAACAGTGGGCACCTGCCTCTTGGGTTGCCATTCCGACTGGTGAGCATGACAACCAAGACTGGGGCAGGCGTGGCTAGACAGAGTGTTACCTGCTGGCATGTGTGGACTGGTTGGGTTGAACTAGGCTTCAATGCCCATTGACATGTATGAGAGCTGACCGGGACGTGGATGGACTGCACCAGTCTGCTGTACATACTGGCAAGCACGGGAATCAAGGCAGGGGCAGGCCTGGTGAAGGTTACTGGTGGTTGCTCCAACTAGGCTGCAGCTCCCTCCAAAGTCTGTGAGGGCTTAGTGTGTGGTGGGCAGGATCTGGCTGGGCTGCAACACCCATTGGTTCGTGTAGAAAACAGGGCTGGAGACAGAACTGACCCAGCAATTGCAACCACGAGCATGTGCACAAGCTGATTTGGGCAATGGACTGTGCTTGACCCTACACTGGCATGCACACACAGGAAATCAGGTCTGGGATCACTTCAGATGAAGATTCTTTGGGGATTCCCCAACTGACTTGCTGATGTCAGACCCCAACCATGGAGAGAATTGCAGGTTCCATGGTCTGACTGTGGAGCGCATGTGTCAGAGCTGGGCCTCCTCAGTGGCTTAGGTGGAGCAGTGGACAGCGTGTCCAAATGCACATGGAGGATATGACAGTCCACTGGAGCCTCCAGCAGACACCTGGTGCCGTGGCAGAGGAAGGAAGACAGAACGAAGTTATCAACTACCCCAGCCATGTGTTGGCAGTGAATGTCTGGGCAAACACTAAGGTGGACTGTGTCAACCAGTGGATTCTGGAGAGATTTCATCGTGGTTGGAGTGGAGAGATCAGCAGTAATTCGGAACTGTTGAACTACTAAAAACTCATGAGCAGGACCCTCACAGCATGCCTCACACTGGGGACCCTGGGGTGGTGGTGGGTGGCTGCCCTCCATCCAAGGTGCAGATCTGTTTGGGGGCTGGTTGTGGATTCTCTCATTGATTCTCCCCTTCTCCCACCTTCCTGTAGTCCTTGACCCTATTTACCCCAATCAACTACGTAAAAAAAATCATCAAAAATAAAAATAATTAAAAATCTTTAAAAAAAAAAAAGCCCGTTTATCAGAAAAAAAAAAAAACCTGCTTAAACAGAACTACCTCGCTACCCCCTCACTGCTACGAGGTGTTCTAAGGGGTGTGAGGCAACTTGGAAAGATCCTGACCAGGACCAGTGTCCCTCCCAGCAAGGCGGGCCTGGCCAGTGTCCCCCTGGCCCCAGTGCAGAGCCGAGCACTGCCATCTGTGGGCCACACTCCCACCTTCTGGGGAGGCTTTTTTTCCTTTCTTACTTGGTTTTTTTCTTAAAGATTTTTTTTTTAAGGCAGAGTTACAGAAAGAGAAAAAAGAGAGAGGTCTTCCATTTGTTGGCTCACTCCCCAGTGGTCTCGACGGTCAGGACTGGGCCAGGCCAAAGCCAGGAGCTCAAAGCTCAATCCAGGCCCCACGTGGGCAGCCACTGCTGCTTCCCAGGGCACACAGGAAGAGCTGTTTTTTGGTTTTTTTAAAGATTGTTTCTTTAAAGATTTATTTATTTTTATTGGAAAGTCAGATACACAGAGAGGAGATACAGAGAAAAAGATCTTTGTCTGATGGTTCACTCCCCAAGTGGCTGCAACAGCTGGTGTTGCACCGATCCAAAGCCAGAAGCCAGGAGCTTCTTCTGGGTCTCCCACATGGGTACAGGGTCCCAAGGCTTTGGGCAGTCCTCAACTGCTTTCCCAGGCCACAGGCAGGGAGCTGGATGGGAAGTGGAGCAGCCAAGATTAGAACCAGTGCCCATATGGTATCCCAATAATTGCAAGGCAAATTCTTGAACATTTCCATATTCTTAACTGGGAAGATGGCTATAGGGAAGAGAGCCAAGAGTTCCATCGCATCCATGCGGTCGCCCACACCGGAGGGACACCTGGAGTCAGCCCTGGGCTCCTGGCCCGCCCAGCAAGAAGCACGTGGGTGTGACATGCTGGCTAAATCAAGCACTGGAGCACAGGCAGCTGCACAGCTGCAGTGGCCTGCCGACTCCCAGGGATGCCTGCTGGTCTCAGGTGGATGCATGGAGCTTAGGGCCCAGACTGGCTCTCAACTTGGGAGGAGCCTGGACACACACAGAACCACCCCAGGACGCAGCCCAGGTGCCCACACTTGAAGGAGATATGGGGAGGAGAAAGAGGACAGTGGAGGGAAGGTTTGGAGAAATAATGAGAAGAAACCTAGAAGGCACAGGATACAACAGCTCAGCTGTGGCGTGCAGCCAGACCTGGGAAGTAACAGGGACAAGGACTGTGGTAAAGTGTGGCTTGTCTGAGACAGCTAGGACTAATGAGCAGCTCAAGAACTTAGTGCATTAAGAACGACGTTCATGATGAACGCAGAGCAGAGGCAGGCGCGGTGGCACTGTGGCTTAAGTGCCACGGACACCCCCAGCTGGGGTACCCGTCCAAGGCCCGGCTGCCCTGCTCCAGCTCAGCTCCCTGCTGGTGCTCCTGGGAAGGCAGCAGAGGACAGCTCGAGCGCTCAGGCCTGTGCCGCCCATGTGGGGGACGAGGATTCTTCTGGCACTGGCCTGGACCTGACCTGGCTGGTGCAGACAGTGTGGGGAGTGAATAAGATGATGGAAGAACTCTATTGCTGGGCTTCCCAGACAAGCACTGAATCTTTTTTAAAAAAGGGTTTATTCATTGAGTGGCATAAACAGGGGAGCTAGAGAGACTTCTATTCCCCGGTCAGCTGTGAAAGCTAGAGACTGGCCAGTCTGAAGTCAGGAGCCAGATTCTTGCGCGTCTCCCACGTGGGTGCAGGGGCCCAATCACTTGAGCCATCCTCTGCTACCTTCCCAGGTGCACTAGGCAGAGCTGGATCAGAAGCAGAGCAGCTGGGACTCTGACCAGCGCCCTAGGGGATGCCAGGATGGCAGGTGGCAGCTTTACCAGCTATACCACAGTGCCAGGCCCATGAAAAAAAGTTTTAAATTATTTTTATTAGAATAGCAGATATTATGAAGC